TCTCTTTGACGAGTTGTAATATAGTGCTACGAATGGTAAAACACACTAAAGATGCCGACTATGATGCAGGCGAAACGTCTGGGAAAGTCCGACGTCCACGGTCCGACTTTGATAATGATGATGCATACAATGGACTCCGGACTAGATGCGTTTCATTATGCCATTATGTAAATAAAGTATAACTGAAGGTGGATATGTTTCTAAGGTTATGCCAGACTAGCTAACCCTTCTTTAGACAAGGCCTTTGGTAAGCTGAGCAGATAGCAGGCCTGGGGATCTGTAAGATTAGCTCAGAGCCTGCATTCGAAATGGTTTGCCAATTAATGCGATACTATCCATCATAGAAAGGAGTCTGTTGCATTGTACAAAAAAGTTCTCGGCTTACCGTCCTGTCTATCCGATGAACCATTGCTAAGCATTTGTCTATCATGTGACCTTTTACCTTAATTTCATATAATGGTGTAATATTTCTTACAATATATTGTGTTGCTCTGAAGATATCTGTCACATGACGGGTCAAGGCTTAGCATGAGTTCATCGGAGTCTCAGAACGGTGAGTACAGGCTTCCTCCACATAATCCGCAAATCTTCTCTACTCGGTTATCCTCCTTTGGTTTCCAGAGAGACCAATTCTCTAATATCTTCCAACCAACTTTTCTTTCGAATTGGAAGTCGAATTACACTAACTCATTATGGGATTCTTTAAAACCCAGCTTTTCATCATATGTTGTCTACATAATTCCAATTTATGAGGGGATAAGAGCCAGCAATTAAGTAATGCAAATATGGCGAATGAGGGAGGAAAAAATAAGGAACTAATGCCCTTTTTAATTCTCTCTCGAAAGTCGATTGTTTGCTCTTCTACCATTCAAATCATGTAACTTTACGACTATTTACAACAAATTTTCTTCTTTACGGGATCCCGTTATTCCATTCACTTAGTGTGTAAACGCAGGATAACCTGAATAAATATTCCTATATTTTGACTGATTTTATAGTTTTCTAGGCTATCAGTTCGCATAAAATCATCTAAGGACTGATTCTTAAGCTGGCCAGCAATAAGATGTGTGGGCCTCGGGATTCTATTTAAATTTGCTTAGCCTTGCCTCCAAAAAGGCTCTCTCATCCAAAGTGTAATGCACTTTCGACCTCTCAACGTTTCGTCAGCACCAACGGCTCTTTATTATCCTGGCGATATCAACACTTCTCTACTCAAACACGGGCGCCAATGGGTTACAGTACATGTGTGGCATTTAATGCCTGCCAAAATACCGCATCTAGCTCTTACGACATATTTGCATAAAAAATGGCGTAAAAATTTCAAGGTCTTTTATTTGTTATTATCTCTTCAAAGTGACTTAGTCTTCTGCCAACCTCAAGAACTTGAAGTACAATATTTACAGACCCACTTCTCACAAATGAGATCAGATAAGATGTTATTTGAATTGTTACATGTAATTGGTTTTCAAGACATGTATTAAATAAAATGTTTCAAGGTTATAGTTGAATCTTCTATAGGAACTTGAGATAGCTCATGTTAGTGGAAAAAAACGGAAGACTGAATTTCCCTCACCTACAGGAAGGCAAAGCTTCACGGTGTCAGCAAAGTTAAATCAGTCGTGTTATTAAATGCTTTCTTATTCACATGTTCTACAAGATCGACCTCGACGGATATCATCATCCTCTGAAGCAAGAATATAATGCTGTTTTTGCCCGTCAAAAGGCAGTGTTACCATTCTATAACTACATACATAATCTGAATAAAATATGAATTTCCTCATAGCAATATGTCACACTACAAGAGCAAATAATAGGGGCTATTGGATAGTATAGGTTGTCTAGGCTGATTGAAGAGCTGATAGTTAAGTTGCCATAAATGTACTTATTAGAAGGTCCTGCTATACCGACCTGTTTTCAAATCCCATCGGAGATTGCCTCAACCCAGGCGAGGTTGAAATTTCTGTACAGCCCGGATGAACAGGCTTTCCGAAAGTCAGCGCTATACTGAATTCAATGGAATATTGAGGCCTTTATTCATGATATTGTGGGAAATTCAAATCTTGGTTAACATATTCTACTAAAACCTCAATCCCGACACATTACGCAACGAGAGGGTAAACGGAAAAATGCAGGCTTCAAATGACTGTATGTCTTATAAAACTTTTCAGACGTCGCTAAATCGCTCGAAAGGTGGTGCTACGTCGTCTGCTGGTGAATCATCTACTAACCACAATCTGGGTCCTAGCGTCAGCTCTGCATCCCCACAACGAGCCTCAATGTCCAATAATCTCAGTTGGCAGCGCAGTCGCCAGCTAAGCCCTGTCAGAGCAAACGCCTCAGCAGGCCCGACAGGGGGCCCGGGAGCCAACACCAACATCAACTCCGGTTCAAGCCGACGTCTGCAGCTGCCACCGATAGCCTGCCACAGCAAACCGGTGGGCGGACCGACGACTGGGTTGGCTGCCTCATCTTCTGTGGATGGCCTAAGGATAGGAGCTTCACGGCAAAAGGTAGGTGGTACCAAGGGTTAAATATTCACTTTTCTATCAGCATGGGTGCCTGAGTAAGGAAACGAACAAATATATATCTGTTAAGTGGTAGTGCCGGTGTTCTAACTCAGGGTAATTAAATTATATAAAGTGTATTCATCTTACTTCGTTTAAGGTTATAAGGGGACAGGCAGTTGAATTGTCCCACAATGCTATATGTAGACCTTACGCTTACATTGAATATTACATAGCCTTGCTTTTCCAAAAGCAGTTCTAATCCAGAGTGAACTGCTGTTTCGACCTTGTCTAGGTCTCAGCAGCACCCTCAGGGGGACTCGAACAATCCCCCTTATCACTTTAATTTCAAAAAGGTTAAATGTACCTCATATATATATATATATATATAATTTACTAGTAGTCTCGAAAACCTATTTGTAAACGAAAAATAAGTAATCTAAGTTATGAAAAACAAGGTGTGGCCTTCTGTATAGAAGTTGTTTGACCTTGTTTTCGCAACTCGGTCATATCGGTAGGAAGACTTAGAGGAACGCACCTTGTCCGGAGTCCATTGCATGCATCATCATTTCCAAAGTCGGACCGTGGACGTGGTACATTCTCAGACATTTCCCCGACATCGTAGTTGGCATCGTCAGTGAGTTTTGCCATTCGTAGCACCATATTACAACACGTCAAAGAGACAAGTGAAGCCGATCCTTTGACCAAACGTATGCTAAAAATTTGTAGTATCTCCCCTTCTGTTCGGGCCTATTCACATTTCCTATATCCTTCAATCACACCTTCGCTGTCACCATTTTTTTACTTGTTAATTAAATGTGGTGCGGTGTGCCCTTTTGAGCAACCTTCATGAGAACCCTCTACACTCCACGCTGGCCTTCTCACTCCCCTTCATCCTTGTGCTGGGAATGTGGATCAGAGTCTGCCATAATGTTACGCCGTCTTACCAAAGTCTCTCTTTTGCCCCGTACGATCCGTCTGCCCTCTCCCTGGTCACACCTTTGCCACATGCACCACGTCTCATATAAAAACTACTGTCAGCCTACTAGCCCGCATCGCCGCCGCGTCTATCCTGCTTCTATGCCTAATACCAAGTCTATGACTTCCCATACCCTAGTTTTGTGTGTCAACCCACAAATGTTGTGGTACTGCTTGCTTTGACTAGGTTCAATCTTGAACCACAACGTTTGTGGGTTGACACACAAGAGACTACGGCATGGGAAGTCATAGACTTGCTATTAGAGATAGAAACAGGATAGACGCTAGTGGGCTGACAGTATGTGAAATATGTGAACCAGGGAGAGGGCAGACGGATCTTACGGGGCATGAGAGAGACTGTGGTAAGACCTAGGGAAGGAGGACTGCGTAACAATATGGCAGGCTCTAATCGACATTCCCAGCACAATGATGAAGGGGGGTGAAAAGGCCAGTGTGTATTG